TTAGTAGACTAAGTAAAGCAGATTGCCTCCCTGTGCCTCACTTATAGTCCCTCACTTACAGTGATTATTAATGTGATTATTAATATGGGTGGGCTTCATCCAATCAGTTAAATAAAACAGCCTGAATGGAACAAAAAGTCTGACTCTCCCCTGGGTAAGAGAGGATTCCTCCTATCTGACTGCCTTCAAACTGGGACATTGACTTTTTCCTGTCTTTGGATTCAACCTAAAACATTGGCTCTTCCTGAGTCTCAAGTCTGCCAACCTTCAGCCTGGTATTACACCGTTGGCTCCACCGGATCTCTAGCTTGCCAACTCACTCTGCAGATATTGAGACTTGTCATACTTCATAATCACATGAGCCAATTCCTTATAATGAATTTATTTCTATAGATACAGATAGAGATCCTATTGGTGCTACTTCTTTAGAGAACCCAGACTAATGTACTATTTATCTAAGTAATAATAAGATATTTATTATTACATTATTAAGTAATAATACCAACAATAATAGTATTAATAATGATAAAAGTAATAGCTAACATTTGTTGCTCATTGTAGTGGATATTTGTTATTTTTATCTGTTCAGCACCCATTTCCCCTTCTGGTTTTGGAATTCCTCTTTCCTGTTGGAGTTCATTGTTTGTGAATGAGGTGAGACAGATCTAGCTTCTTCCCAAAGGTCAAAGGGTGGGCTATCATGTGTCAATCAGCATGCCCCCTTTCTTTCTTTAGCTACAGTGACTGGTTCAAGAATGGGCATACCAACCAAAAAAAACAATCAGAATTTTTCTTGGGGCTTCCTTCCAGAATATTTTGGAAAAGCACTCTTCTTTCATTAGAGTAGGATAGAACGCTGCCTGAAAATGAAGTCAGGCTGAAGCAAGCAGAGCCAAAGATGCTAAGACAGAAACTTGACTTTGAGCTCCTGGAACTAGCTGTACCTAAAGACATAATTATTATACTTGTTAAATTTTCCAGTCAAAATTCCCTCTTGTGCTTAAGCTACTTTGAGTTAGATGTTGGACACTTACAACTGAATGGTAATACCTTGGTAATACACACTTACTGTGTTCCAGGTATTCGTTTAAGTACTTCATATATGTATACTTACTTGACTCTCCTTAAAACCATACAAAATAAATATCATTATTTCCATATTTCACAGTCAAGGGTATTACAATTATGAAGAGTAACATGTCCAAGGTCAGAGCTGGTAGGTGGCAAAGAAGAGGCTTGAACTCAAACAAGCTCAACAGAGTCTGCACTGAGATCCTCTGTACCTAAGTGCTTACTCTGTAGAAAGCATAAATAATCTCATTTCTTTCTAAAAGTTCTCCAAGAAGTGTTATTTTCCACTCTTTATAGATTGGGAAACTGAGGCTTAATAAGGCCAAGTCATCTGCCTAAGGTAGTATAGCTGCATTAGATCTAGCAGGTGGGGTAGTATGTGCTTACATGTCTCTTTTTAATTTTAAAACTGAATAGAAAATGGTACATCTTTTTTTGTTTATAAATAGAGAAGGTAGGGATTAAAATAATATGCTATAACTAAAAATTAAGTTTTATCTTCAAAGTGCTAAAAATAATCACCAAAAGTCTTAGAATTTTTTGAGTCTTTCAGGTCCTTGCCAGAGTAATCAGTTAAGAAATGTTAACTAAATAAATAATGGATAAATAAGATCCCTCCTGAAGCCCAGTGGCCACTCATGGAACTCAGTAGTCAAAGACGAAGGGAGTGTGCACCTGCCGAGCCTGTCCTGATCCCCTTTTTCCCACTGAGGAAATGAATGAGGCATGACTCCTTTGTCTACATTCAAGGGGGGAGCACAGATATGTTCAGTCATAGCAATACTATAGGGTGAACTGATTAGTCAAAATTGCGGGTGGAGGTTGCACAGGTTTAATTTAACTTTGGTATCACATCCTTCTTCTTCTATGTCTGCAAGTTCTTCTTAATTGAAAAATATACTCAAATTAAAAGTTCTATATCTACTGGGGGGAAAACCTACATTGACATCATATAATCTTACGTATACCTCTATGAGAAAGACTTGTAACACACAGGGATTATAAAAGTATTATAAAATGTTCTAGAAATCATTGCTTCATGATTGATTTCATCTGTAGCAATTTTATATGCCTCTATTTAACAGATCTATGCCTCTCTCTTGGGATATGTCAGATGAAAATTTCACATTTTATGGTTGCCAAAATTGAAAGTTAACAGCCTCAACTTTTTGCTGCTAAAACAAGAAGAAATATGTTAGTTTCATCAGAATGAGATAGTAATAATAAAAATACTGCATTGAATTTTTAGATAGTACAGTAATAAGAAGAACACTGTATTTTATTTGTAGACGGGGTGTTCCCAGGTATCTATTTTGGCCTTGCCAGGCATTTGTTCTCTATGGCTAATGATACTGAGTGGCCTGGGTTACCTCCAAGTTCATTGTTGGGGAACATGCAGAATTTTTTTCTTCTGTTCAAGTGACCACAATATAACAAAACTTTGTATGTTTGATTGAATAGTTCTCATGGCTGCCAGTCGAAATGGCCATCAACTTTCAGGCTTTGGTTAGTCTGTGCATAGTACACCAGATCTCCAATTTCTAATAAGCAAGTTGGGCCATGCAAGGGAATAGGCACTACTATTAGGGATGGTCTTTTGTTATCATCATAATGTGAACAAAATCTGGGATTGGCTATTGCCTGGTGTTGCCAAAAACAGAAACAATAAATGTGTCAAAGAAGTAGATGTTGCTGGAAACTGTACTAAATAAAAAGTTTCTCTTGATACAGCTTTTGTGACTCACTTCCCCAAGTAAGGTTTCAAGTAAGGCCATTTCCTCTTTATTTTCCCAGTTCACTTCTTAAGCACTGATATGGGAAATTTGGGGGAAATTCTCGTATGAGGGCCTGACCCATGTGATGCCCTGCCAAACAATAATTTAATTTATTATGGGAATAGAAAATATGAAAATTAAAACTGCTTTCAAAACCATGCTAAGGCAAATATCATTGTTCTCTTCCAATAGGCTGTTTGCACATCCACACCGAGAGGGAGGAATTGTTCTTAAGCAATCCCGTTGCTCTCCGTACTCCTCTCCTTCTATTAATAGTTTGGGAGAGCTATGTCTTTGTTTAAGGATTTTATGCTGTGTGGAAATTTCATCAAAAAGCTCAAACCTTTCTTCTTTTAGTTTTGATAGAGGTTAAAAAAAAAAATAAAAGAAGAAGAAAGGACCAGAACACTCATTCCTGTTGCCTTCAGTTGTGATAGTTCAGAATTCCTGCTAAGGTGTAGCCACAGTGCTGTAATTAGCCAGAATAATGCTCCCCGACCCCTGTAGACATCTATGTCCTAATCCCTGGAACCTGTGAGTAAATTACATCGAAAAAAGACTCTGCAGATGTGACTAAGTTAAAGATCTTGAAGTGGGGAGATTATTTTGGCTTCTTCTGGTGGGCCCAGTGTAATCAGATGGGTCCTTAACAAGAGAAAGAGGAAGGCAGGGAAGGGAGAGGAAATATGGCAATGGAAGCAGAGTTCAGAGTAATGAGATTGCTTGAAGGAGACTGTGGGAAGGGAGGCAGGCAGCTTCTAGAAGCTGAAACATACAAGGAAATGGATTCTCCTCTAGAGCCTCTGGAAGGAACACAGCTCTGCTGACACTTTGATTTGAGCCCAGTGAGGCTCATTTCATACTTTCGACCTCCAGAACTATGAGATAAAACATTGGTATTGCTTTAAGCCACCAAATTTGTAGTGATTTGTTACAGCAGCAATAATACTAATACAGCTGCAAACATCCTCTCTTGCTCATCTGCTCCAATAAACAAGACATATTGTCTTGGTACTCAGGACTTTCAAAACACTTAAAGTTTTCTGATTTTAGGCACAGGTCTCAAAGCGGCATAGGTAATATTAAGTATAGTTGGGTAGCGAATCAATAAGAAAATAAAATTTGTGTGAAAACCTTTCACTTATTTCTTTTTCTTTAGTTCTATCACTTTGTAATTGAAAGAATCAAAGTGTGTGTTGACTAGAGAGGGAAGCCTCCTCTAATATTCATCAGACAAGCACTCATCTATCTTTAATAACAGAAGCACAATGTCTCCTTTCTGCTCACCACCCCACTCCAACTGTCTAGGCATCCCAGAGGCTGGCTCCTGGGAAGCAGTCGGCCATGCTTCCGATGGCAGGGGGGCCAGAGAACTGGACAGGAGCATCAGATACCTACTCTCTTTGCTGCCATCTTCTACCTGGTGTCCTGCTGAAGACAAACTGATGTTTGCTTCATTTTAGCACACTGATCTTGCCTTTGTGGACCCATGTCCCTGCACAGGTCACACTGGTGTACCATGCTTGGATGTCAAGGTGGTTGCACATGTGTTCATTAATTATTTTTCAAACACAACATGCAGTAAACTGAAATGGGGGGATTATCCTGGATTACCCTACACCCCAAGGGGCTTTCAGCCTCAGCCATATGTTGTTCTGCCACTAGCCCTTCCCCACAAACTCTTATTTCTATTTGTGAGCTTAAAGCAATAAATGGTTCTCTCCTGTCCTCCCGATGAATTCTCCCTTTGGGGTTGAAGTCACCTCAGTCCTCACTTATATGTTTCCCTGATTTCAAATCTTGGGACACAGAGGTTGGCATCTGAGTTTCTTCTTTCCCAGAGAAGCTTGGACTTCTTGTGTCAGTAGCATCATTTCTTTCCACAGGCATTGTTGGATGGGTTTTGTTGTGGGGCCTGTTAGGGCAATGGGTGTCCCCTCTACCTAAATTCCCACGTGGAGCCCACTCAATTGGTTTTTTTCAGGGTCAAGGTGACTCTGACTTCCTTCATGTCAGGGAAGCGTCATCTTCCTAAAACACTTAATTGCCCCTTTACGTGGCACTGCCTTAACAGAAAACCTCTTATACTTTTATTGTGTTGAATTCTGACTCACAGTAACTTCTTTCCTTTAATTCTTGTTTTGTCTTTTAAAGTTCTCTGGATTATAGAAGAAATATGAAATGAATTATCCTCACACACCTGCCAGGTAAGTCTTTACTTTTCTCAACAAGCATAGGGGTCATCTTTCTCTAAACTGTCCTATGACAAGTTTTGATTCTCATCATCATAGTCAATCCCTTCTGGTAGGTACCAGTGTGTTAATCTAGCTCATGGAGGGTCCAAAATAATATTCCTCTCCCTTCTCTTGAATATCATACTGCTGTTCATGCTGCCCAGGGTTGAGTTCATTCTTTTAGCAGTGACTTATGACAGAATTCTTTGACCTCATAGCAAAGGAAAATTCTCCTTGATGTACTTGCATTGTTGTGTAGCCCTGTGTCTGTGTATTTATTTTGTTCCTATTACACTTCTTCTTATATTCAGCTGACATTTCAAATCTTTCAACAACATATTATATATACTCTATTTTTTAACTATTTTCAGATTTGATTGTAATGATTTCTCTATCATCATTCAAATTTGGGGGACCTAAAGAGGCCAAAAATGCTTCAGACCCTTCTTCAGCTTGCCATCCCTCTTTCAGTTGGCACTCTCTGTGTAAGGATGCACAAAGATACCCTTTGTTGGCAGGGAATACTAGTTTAAAAAGTAGAAAATCCTAAATTAAAATCCTTATTTTGCTGTTACTAGTTGTGTGACCTTAAACAAATAGTCTCGCCCCAATATTCTCCTTTGTATCATGGGATAATTAATGGAGATCTTAGAGTATTGATTTGATGTATGTGCATGTGTGTATGAATGTGCATGTGAATATGCTTTTCTATGTACGTACCTGTGTTTATGCACTGTGTGTATTTGTGATGTGTTTATGTATGTTTGTGTCTGTGTGTATTATGTGTGTAGGTGAATGTGCATCTATGTATGTATCTATGCTTACACGAGTGTATTTATATGTAAGCATGTATGTGTGTATATTGCTGCATATTATATGTATTGCTGTGTGTTGGTGTGTGTATATGTACATGTAGTTGTATGTGTATCATGGAACATATTAGATCAGGGGTCCTCAAACGTTTTAAACAGGGGCCAGTTCACTGTCCCTCAGACTGTTGGAGAGTGCACACTGTGGGCCCAGGATGAGTCAGCTGCTAAACAGGACAGGCAGCTGGGGCAAAAACACCCAGCAGGTTGGATAAATGTCCTAGGTGGGTGGCATGTGGCAGGCCATAGTTTGAGGACGCCTGTATTAGATTGTCTACACACAGTAGATATTATTATAATGAACAAGGCAAACCAATCATGACTACAGCCATTACACATGACACTCTACTATATCAGAATGATGTCTCACATAGTACATAACATAATGAATATTCCCCTCATCTTCTCTGTAAGTGTAGATAAAAAAGGAAATTATATAATCCTGGCATGATTTGAACTTCATAAACCTGCTTTGGTCCCTAGTGATCATCTCTTTACTTCCTAACTATTTACCAACCTTTTATACTCTAGCATTTTGCCAGGGATCCATCCAATCTCTTTGGCATTTTAAAGAATTGAATTTCTTTCACCTTTTTGAAAATGGAAACATTTATTTGCCCTTTTCCCACCTGCCAGCAAGACTTCTGTTCTCCATATTTCTTCAAACATGACTATTTATGGTTCACTGATGTCATCTGAGCCATCTTTTTTGGTCTTATGGAATGGAGCCTTCTCTGGTCTTCAAAGTCCTCTGAAATGTGCTTTTTTTCCAACCTCCTTACCTATCTTGGACTTTAATTTCCCCTCCCAGTATTTACTTTCTCCTTTTAAATCTGACAACTAGCCTTCTTAATCCAAGTATTAATCAAGACTCTCTTGATTAAAAATGTAAGCAATCCAATTTAAACTTTCAGGATAAAAAAGGAGTAGTACCTTGGCTCACATAGGTGGGGGATTCAGGGATGAGGCTCAATTCAATCACAGCTGGATTCAGAGATTCAGAGGATATCACCAGGAGCCTAGGTTTTTTGCCATATTTGAGTTATGATTCCTTTTGTGGATGGGCTTTCTACATGGTAGGGAAGATAGCTACTAGATTTAATTCAAATCCAAAATGAAGAAAAACTCTTTTTCACTTACCATCCATGTATCAAATCTCCTGGTGGGTATCTGACTGGCCCTGTTTGATTACATGTTCACGGCCATGGCCAGGGCAGGCTGGGCACTGTGGCTCATCATGACCTCATGAGATGTGGGAGGGATGAAACAGAGGTCTGTGACAACACAGAAAAGACCTGAAAAGTTTTGCTTTCTGCCTGTCTTCTGCAGACTTTACAGTATTGCTCCCAAATCTTTCTGTTGTTCTCTGTATACCTTTAAAAAGCCTATTTTCATCTTCCTTGGCAATTTTCACAAGATTTACTTTATTCCCTTAGTATTAGTTTTCATTTGTGTGGTTATGTTTTCATCCTTTCATAATCTGTAAATGACACCTTTGACATGTTTCTGTTTATTTAAGGGCTGGTTGAGCTGCCTATCCCCTCACCTTCCATGATTAGACTCTCAGAACTGTGTGTTTAAAAGCCTAGAGTTCTTTGCTTCACCACTTTCTGCTTCTGTGGTCACGAGATCATGCTTATCTTCTCTCTGAACCTCCGGAAAGCTATCTTCTTTTCGTCTGGAGCAGATGTCTAGCTTTGCTTAGGGTTCAGAACTTCTGCTATCATAGGCTGTAAGATGCTATTACTGCTCTCCCCTTCTCCTCAAAGTTTCTAACATTTTCACTTTGCCAACCAGCAATTCCTTTGCTGATCAGAATTAGGTCCTAAGCAGCTCCCTTCATTACTTTTTCTGCCTTTCAAAAGATGAATTTCTCAGTAAGATGTAGCCAACACTTTGCTTTTAGCTAACTATGACTTCCTGGAGATCTCTAGATAAGCACAATCATTCATCACTTTTGTGCCTTGGCTCTGTATCTGTGCCAGCTTGGTAATCAGTGTCAGGATGTGATTGTCCATTCTTTCTGCATGGAATGACAGTTTTCCTAACTGTCCCCAACCCCCATCACTAACAGTAATATCATTTGATGCTCTTCCCTTTTATCTCTACCCAGATGCTCTTTATCATTCTGCCATCCCTGATTTGGGGATATATATCTTCTTGACACAGAGTTCTACTGCCTTTGTACAATGCAGTACATTCCATGAGAGTTGCCGCTTGCTGCTTGTGAATCCTATTTTGCCAAGATGCAATGATGTCTATGAGGGGTGTTCATTTTCTTGTGTGAACATCATATTATATGTTGGATATATTGATGTATTAAGCAACTAGGAACCTAGTACTATGTTTTACTGCCTCCTGAATTATTTTCTGCTATGAATTACTAGGTACATTCTATACTGGTTTTATGCTTAGAGTTTTACCTATCTATTTTCCTTTTTTGTTTTTCTTCCTTTTTTATCTCCCCAATTTGTAATCCTCTAGAACAGACTGAAAAATACTCCTGTGAACACATTCTTAATCTTTAGCAAAATAGATAAAATCTTATCAAAACAAATGCAAAAAAAAAAAAACCCCAACAATTTTCATTTTTCTCTTTTTGTATTGGGAATAGTTAAATAATACTTAAAACAACTGGACCCATAGATTGGGTTTGCAATATGTCTTCTTTTATAATGATTCTTGTATTGGAGACTTGTATGTTTGAGTTGTGACTGGTGTTTGGTTTGACACTGTATACTACAACACACTCCAAGCTATTCACATCTATAAAACATGTTCCATGTGGAGCTTTTAAGGACTCTCCTATCCCCAAAGGCTGAAGCAGTATAACTGGAGAAGTTAAAAATGGCTCACAGTGCCAACAGCATGACCTGTGCCTGCTAAATTTGAGGGCTGAGAATGAAGCTACAGAAACTCAGAATGGAGGGCTTCTATTTCTGCCTTCTCTTGCCTGTCGCGGGCATTTGCTCTCGTCTCTGCCGTTCCCTCAACTTGCTTTTGTCCCAGACATTTCTCTTGCCCTCACCCCATCTCTGCCCCTTTATTGTATACTTTGGCTCTACCTTGGTTTATGCCCACCCATGGCCCTGCCCAGCCTCTTCTATCTCAGTGTCTGCTTTCTCACTGTGGCCAAGGGTCCCGGGACAAAGGTATTCTGAATTTCATATAAGAGTTTCGGAGCAGCATGCCTGAAGACAGTCAGTGTTAAATGTTTACCAGTGTTCTTTACTCCTCCTGGTGTGCAGGGTAAAGAAGGAGAAGAGAGGAAGGAATAACTGGCCCCAAACATTTAGAAGATAACTAAGAGGACTTCAAGCTGCTTTAGTTGAATACATCTCAAATGCAGATATAATTCATGTCAGGGATCTGACAGGCCAGAGATAAAGTTCCATGGGAGAGGAACTGGGATTTGCAATGAGTAGGACTCAGCTCAAGAGCTAACCAAGCTGCCTAACCTTGAGCGAGCCACTTACTATCGTTAAGACTTTAGATTTTGTTTCCTTATCTGTAAGATGATGGTGACAATGCCTATTGTGCCAGGTCGGGTCTCTGGTAAGCAGAAAGTTAATTCACAGAATTATTAGGGAAGACTCTTAGGATCAACACCTATGAAAACCAAGAAGGTAAAATCAGAATTGGGCAGAGGAAGAGTTGAGGTTGGATTTGTCTTGCATTGATCTGAAATGCCAAGGCCTTTCTACCTTGCCTCCATCAGTAAATGGATGTGGACCATTCTGGGAAGGATGTGGCTGCTGTTATCCCTGAGGGGGCTGCCAGTTGATGGATGCCTGCTAATACCCCTCCTAGCAGTAGAGGCAAAAAGTAATTCTTTAAGGGGGATCTGGGTAACATTTCTCTGCATGCTTCTTACCTATTAAACAAGGTTCTAGGAGAGAAATTGTTTTGTTAACTATAAAACTTACTATAAATGTTAATTAATAATCTACTTCATACCATGATCATTAAACATTTATTAAGAGTCTACTTTGTGATAGCTATTTGGTATGAATAAAAATATTAGACCTGAATTTTTTTCTTTAATATATACTATTTAGAAGCCTTTTACAACTGATAGTCTTCTACATTCATTGCAGTGGTCCT